ATGGAGATGCATAGTCCAAGGTCGGCCGCCTTCCTGGAGAAGACGGTGGGGGGAAGTTGTTTGGGGTCGCCCACCAGTGCCAGGTGTCCGCCGGAACGGATGACGCTGTCGAGCGACATGGCGGCCATCAGCTCGAGGGCCTGTCTTGCTTCGTCGATGATGAGCAGGTCTACTGGTGCAGCATGCCTGAGGGCCTCCGCGGACTCGTATGTCGCGATGATCGTCTTGGCGTCCCTAAGCAGCTGTGCGCGGAAGGCATTGAACTCCTTGGAGGGCCCGCTTTGGTGCGGGGGGCGATTGCGCGTTCTGTAGAAGTGCCCCCCTGGGGTGAGCGGGGCAAGTCTCTGCGCCACCCGGAATTCTTTGGCCAGACGGATGCACCCGTTGGGGGGGCTTGTCCCTTGTCCTAGTCTGCCTGCTTCGTGCGCACTCCCGAGGCCGATGGCAGGCTGGTCCGCTGCTGTGTTGGACCCAGCAGTCAGTGCAACTGCCTGTCCATCGGGGAGCGAGTCGGCCCGCGTGTCCATGGTGGCGACTGAAAAAACCGTCTGGCCAGTCCCGGGGGGACCATGTACGACTGTCACGTGGTGTTGTCTGTTGGCAGCCAGGGCACGCGCCGCATCGTCGTTAAGTCGATGGCGCTTGGCGCCCTCGTCAAGGGTGAGTGCTCGGGGGAGGTCTCTGACTCGCTGGAATACCTGTCCAGTAGCATTGCCCACTTCTTCGTCGGAGAAGGGCGCGTCTAATGGCTCCTCGTCCTGCTGCTGCGGTCCGGCAGCACTACTGTTTGCCACTGCCGGGGGTATGTCGGGTGCCTGGGCCCTGATGGTGGCCCTCGCCCGCGAGAGGAGGGAGTTGCCGCACGTCCTGGTGTTTTTTTCCACGTCGTTGGCCAGAGTCCTGTTCTTCCTGTCGGTGGTGCGGAAGGTGAGGAGGAAGGAGATGACGTCGAGTGGCGTACCCGCAAGGTCGCCTGGGGCCTGCTGCAGCTTGTAGATTTCGCTGATGGCGCTGGGGATCCGCCAGTACTGCAGCTTGGGGGGTGCCTTGTCCAGTCTGTACCAGCCGCCACCCACCTTCTCAGGTTTGGGGTGCGCCCCGTCGGGGTGGAACTCCCCGAATATCTCCGTGTCGTACAGGGCCAAGGCTTGGTTGGTGGGGAACTTGGCTCCCTGTCGTAGTCCCATGGCTTCGCAGTCGTGGAGGGGGATGGTGCTTCCGAAGTCTGGGGGCCAGAGAAGTTTGAGCGAAGCAACCTGATCCGCCGTTGGGCTGGTGATGCTGAGAAGCAGCGTGCGAGCTTCCTGCCCACCCTCCTGCCCCCTGAACAGAATCTTGAACTCTCTTGGCCATTGCAAGTGCAGCAGCAGCTTTCCCTCCTCAGTGGAAAATGCGTTGCGCAGCCTGTACTTGTCTAGGAATACGCAGGGGGTCTGCTCATTGATGGGGTGACCGACACAGCCAGCGCGCAGCTCTGCCTTCGTACCAGGTCCGTTCTGGCCTTGGCGGAGCCGTCCCATCAGGTTTCGGTGGCTGCCATGCACTCGGTCCAGGCCAGCCTGTCCAGGCTCCCAGTGCTTCGGGAGGCTCACCCCGGAGGGGACCGAGCCCAGGGGAGTGTGGAGGCGGAGTTGGGCTCCCGGGCTGCTGGCGGGAACAGCGTAAAGCCTAGTGATGGCGCCTGCTGCTGCAGCCGCTGATGACTCCATAATCGCCTGTCCACTCAGGGGGGAGAGATCGTCCGGCCAGTCGTCTCCGCCTTCGCGTGAGGGCCTCGTCCGCTCCATTGAGTCCTGAGAGGAGGCCCTGCTGGACGCATTGGCCCGCCTCTCCCTCAGAAGCGGTGAGGTAGATGGCCATCCTGGTGGGGCGGGGGGAGTATCTGTGGGTGGTGGTGGCGGCGGTGCTGAGCCTCCCCAGGCTCTGACCGTGCTCCAAGGGCTGGTGGGGATAGTCGAAGCGCCAAGAATTATAATGCGCAGTGCCCGTCCACCACCCACCCCCAAGTTATCCCATCCAACACCAAAACTCGTCGCCCCTGTCGTCGCCTCTTACCCGCAGGCGGTACAGCCCAATCCTGCCCACATGTCCCGACGGCCCAGTCGATTTCGATGGAAGGCAGGGTTTCTGGGTTCCCGGTGTCCATTTCTCTGCGAAGTCCTGTGGGCGGGCAAGTTCCAGGGTCGCCAGGCAAGGGAATAGACCGAGCGAATTGAGAGAGTGGAGAGTAGAGGGGATTTGGTGAGCAGGGTGCAGGGGCCTTGTGACCGAAGATCGGCAGGAATATCCGACGCATCCGTTGCAAGCAAGAGCGAAGAAAACTGTGCAAGCGGAGGGGCTCTTCGAGCCTCGAGACGACTAGAAACATAGTCTGAAACAGGCGAGCTCGCACCTGAACTCGAAAAACAAATCGCTAAACCGAACTCGTGTCTTCCCTTTACTGGCCCAGGGCGATGCTGGGCAAGCGGATGGCAGAACTTGGCGCCATCATGCTTACAGTCGCCTGTGTACATGGGAAGCAGGCGGAACATGGTATTCAAGCCAAAACGGGGCTTCTGTGCCGCCTCCAGGCGTGAAGCCAGTTTTGCCCGAGAGACCGGTATGCTACACGAGGCCAAGAATAAACCACGAGGGCCCCGAGATGCCCAAGTCACTGTTGTTCCCGAGCTGTTGCTCCCCATCTTTCTGGCGTTCCGCGCTTGTCGAACTCCTGATGCTCCAAGACATGCGAATAGGCCCCCAAGACCACCCCAAGACGGCCTAAGAGGCCCCCAACAGGGCCCCAAGGCAACCCAAGAGGGCCCTAAGAAGGCCTCAGAGGCGCTCCAGACGGCCCATGAGAGCCCCAAGACGGCCCAAGAGGGGCCCACAAGGAGGAACGCGCACCGAAAATCCGAGCCTTCCACCCCAAGAAGCCCCCAGAAGGCCCCAAGAGGCTCCCAAGATGCTCCATGACGCGCCCAAAAGCACCTCACGAGGCCACCAAGAGGCTCAAAATAGGCCACCCAAGCAGCTCCCCAGAGGCCTCCAAACTGCATCCTGGTCGCCCTCGAGATGCCTAGACGAGACCCTGACGAACAGACAAGAGGCTTCAGGCCCACAACCCAGGCACGGTGGCGGGATGGGCCGACGGGTCGGTGTGCCAAATATCTGGCTGGTCCTTGGATCTTTGTGGAAGAACTCCCCGTGGGGCGTCGGACCGGCCCAGCGACCACACGGAAAACGCACTTACCGTCTGCAATTTGGATTCAACTGGCTTCAGTATGGGCTCCAAGATGGCCAAGATGGGCCAGGAACGCCACAAGACTGCCAAAGAGGCCCCCAAGAAGCCCCCGAAGGCCTTCAAGAGGCCCAAGGTGGCCTCCGAGAGGCCTCAAAGAGGCCCCCAGACCCAAGGACGCTCCCAGGATGTCCTAAGAAAGACCCAAGACGCCCCCAAGAGGTCTCCTCATCCTTCTCCTTAGAGATGTTCCTCCATCTCCTCATCCTCCTCTTCTTCCACTACGTGTTCCCCGAAGGGCTTCAACCTCGGCTAGATGGCCCCGAGTACGGCCAAGACGGCCTCCAAGATGCCTCCATGACGGCGCGCCCAAGATAGCCCCAACATGGCCTCACGACGGCCCAACATGCTTCAATGAATGCGAAGACGGTCCAACAGGGTCCCAGACGACCCAAGAAGCGCCCAGAAGGCCCCCGAGAGAGCCCAAGAGACCTTCAAGGGGTCCTCCAGGAAGGCCCGCAGCGGCAACAATCAGTGACTCCCCAGAAAGGTGTTTGACGAACATTGGCATGTGCTTCAAACTGGCCTTCCGACCGCCAAGGGCAGCCCAAGAGGTATCCAAGATGCCCAAAATGGCATTCAAGACGACCCTGAGGCGCCCCAAGAGGGCCACTAAATGCCCAACGCGGCTTCCAAGACGGCATCCGACAGCGTGTCCAGGAACGCCGTAAGACTGCCAAAAAGGAACCCAAGAAGCACCAAACGGCCATGAAGAGGCCCAAGGATGCCCTCAAAAGACCTCGAAGAGGCCCCCAGGAAGCTCCAAGGACGTTCCAAGAATGACCCAAGAAGCTCCCAAGAGGTCCCCTCATCGTCTCTTCCTCCCCGACGTGTTCCCTGAAGGGCTCCCACAACGGCAGGGGGACGCATGGCCCAATAGCGTGGCCAAGCTCTGCCCAAACGTTTGGCCACATTGGCGTATCTTAAACAGCAGGGGGCGGCGGTGATTCGCCGCAGTCGTCTGCGAGAAGTGTTGCCGTAGTCTGGGAAGCCAGTTGCGCAAGTTTACTCCCAATGCGATCCTCGACGCAAACAAGTGCAAGCCTCGACGGTCATACTTCCGTGTTTTTAAAATACACCAGTGTGGGCTCAGCTATGAGCATTAGTCAGGAGCTTAGGAGCTTTTTGTGTTCCGTCCATTCGAATGGACGGCTTCTCCGTCTGCCAGCAGCTGCTGTGTACGGACTCATCGGGCCTGGGAAAAAACATGATCGCCACACGCGAGACCACGGCGGATTCTGAGGCGAGGGGAACATGGAAGCGAGCTGGGAGAAACGCAATGCCGAGAAAGTGCATGCAACAATGCGTATGATCGACACTACGGTTGCGGAGTGGGGGTGCGCAGAGGAAAGAAGAGGAGAGACAGGAAACAAGGGGGCAACAACGGAAGAAGGCCGCGGACATGAAGGCCCGTGTGTGTCGTGGGGGGAGGGGGGGGGCGTTCGCGGTGCCTGTCTACCTCACCTGCTGCCGCTGCGTGCACACTCCTCGCCGTCCTCTGGCTGCCGCTGCGCGGGAGTGGGAGCTCGACCACCCCGAGGCCGCTCGCTCTCCATCGCCCGCGTGCTGCTCGACGTGCTCGCCCCGGGCCCTCTCCTCTCTTCGCTCTCGGGGCGCACGCGGCTCCGGGCTGACCCAAAAAAAAACCACGCACCCGCGGGCGCCGGCGGGCCGGTAGTGCCCCCCCCTGGTCGGCGCGCAACCCCCGCTCCCCGGCCGATCACCGCTCCCCGAAGAAGAAGTAGGGCAGGAAGTTGGCCACGTACTCGTCGAACTCGTCCTCGGGCGGGAGCAGCACGGACTGGTTGTTGATCAGCAGCAGCAGCGTGTAGAACAGGAACAGCATGACAATCGCGAACACCAGCACCACGTACGTGGCGGGGCTGTCCTCCTTGGCGGTCACGCCGTACTCGCTGTTGAGGGGCTTCAGGAGGTCACTGAGCCCAGTGCGGATGCCGTTGAAGTTCGGCTTGCGCCTCGGTGCGTCGTAGGCAGTCATGTCCTCTAGGAGACGGCTGGGGTGTCCGAACCGGCTGGGGCCCCAGAGAATCGGTCGGAAGGGGGAATGAAGCCAAATCCACTCAAATCAATGCCCAGATCCCTCCGAGGGTCCACTTGGTGCAGTTTTCCACCCCAGATTAATTTTGTTTACGATTCAGGGGCGCGACGAAAAGCCCCCGGAGGCGGGAAAAGACAACAAAAACCATCCCAAGCCCAACGCCTAGAACCTGCCCCCATTCCTGCTGGCTGGAACCAGTGCTGGGCCCCCTCAAATCCTCAGCCGGCTCCCCAGAACCCCGACGCTGTGTATTTTGTCTACATTGTCGACTCTCAGAAGTCTGGTCCCTGGACCCCCTCCCCGGGACCAGTTTTTCATCATGCGTCGTTTCTGGACGGTCCCGAGGCCCGATGAGGGCCTCTGGAGGCCGAAAATTGCGAAGGTCCTACCGGCGCGACTTTGTTTACAACGCGCAGGGGTCTGGCTTCAGATCGGGAGCGGCCAAGAGGGGGGTGTCCAAGAGAGGGGGGGGGTGCAAATCATGACCGGCGGCATGTGCGCGGCCCAGCGGGGGGGCCAGGGACGTAATGAAATAAGAAGAGGCGCCATGAAATCTGGGGAAATATCATGGCCCCCGCCATGATATCCCCCCCCCTAGTCATCCCTCCCCTCTTTTCCGCCCCCGATCAGATGTCCTCGAACTGGTTGTTGCGTAGGACGCTCGCCGAAACTCTGGCCTCTCGCGGCTGCTGCGCGGCGGGGCCGGAGACGAAGCCCGATCCGCCGCACAGTGCCAGGGCCGCCAGCGCGGCGGCGCAGAGGACCGCTGGGCGCGCCATGGGTGCCTGAAGAAACCGCAGCCTGCTGCGGGGCCGGCAAGGTGGCGAGCCGAAGATCGGCAGCGAGCGAGGGGGGGAAGTGAGGAGGAGAAGGCCTTCTCAGTGAAGGCGTCGGGGCCTCTCAGAAGCGCCTCGGCCTTGTGAGAGGCTTTCTGCATCTTCGGGGAAGGCTCAGAAAGCTTCTCTGAAGGCCGGGGAACTCCCGAGGCTTCTGAGAAGGCCCGCCTCTTCTCACTTCCTCTCTGGGCTCGGTGCCGAGAAGAAGCTGGAGCCGAGATTGCTACTCTGGATCGCTAAATAATCGCCTCCCCCTTGGAGTGCCAGGGAGGGTTGGCCGCGGCGCGTCCGCAGGGGTGCCAAGGGGGGTCTGGGGTTCGTTCCCTGGCGGAGGAGGAGGAAGAGCGAGGAGGAGGAGGAGCGAGGAGGAGGAGGAGGAGGACGAGGAGGAGGAGGAGGAGGAGGAGGAGGAGGAGGAGGAGGAGGAGGGGAAAGGAGCGAGGAGGAGGAGAGGAGGAGGAGGAGGAGGAGGAGGAGGAGCGAGGAGGAGGAGGAGGACGGAGGAGGAGGAGGACGAGGAGGAGGAGGTAGGAGGCGGAGAAAAAGAGGAGGAGGCGGAGGAGGACGAGCACGAGGAGGAGGCCCCGAGCCCCCGAGGCGTTGCCGCCGCTCCCCAGGCTGGGGAGCGGAGAAGGGCTCCGCTCTCCGAGCGGCAGGGCGTATGTGCAGCTGCTGTCTCGCCCTCGACGTGCGGGCAGCTGGGGCGGGCGGGCGGGCTCCAACTCGGGCGGTGTGGCTGTCCACCTCCTCCTCCTCCTCCTCCTCCTCCTCCTCCTCCTCCTCCTCCTCCTCCTCCTCAGGTGGCGAGCCGAAAAAGATGGAGCCGAAGCGCTCTCCGAGCAACAGTCGTCCTCGTGCTCGTCCTCGACGTTCGTCGTCCTCGTCCTCGACGTCCGCGTCTTCCAACTGGGCCATCGTATGCAGCTGCTTTCTCGTCCTCGACGTTCGGGCAGCTGGGTCGGGCGGGCGGGCTCTCACTCGGGCGGTGGGGCTGGCCAGGGGTCGGGCGGGCGGGCTCCAACTCGGGCGGTGGGGCTGGCCAGGTGGCGAGCCGAAGAAGATGGAGCCGAAGCGCTCTCCGAGCAGCAGTGCGTATATGCAGCTGCTGTCTCGCCCTCGACGTCCGGGCAGCTGGGTCGGGCGGGCGGGCTCTAACTTCAAGTCGGGCGTGTCCCCCTACAGGGGGATTTTCGACGAAGAATAAGAACATTCCCCCAAAATATTCCAGAATGGTCAAAACATACTCAAAAAATAGTCCCCCGACTATTTTTTACCATGGTTGAATTTTCCTCCTGTAGAGGGACAGGCCCGACTAGACTCTAGCTCGGGCGGTCGGGCTGGCCAGGTGGCGAGCCGAAGAAGATGGAGCCGAGGTGGCTGATTACGGCGGGGTCATGTCGTGTCGACCCCAGCGTGGAATTCTCACGCCGCGTCCGAACAGTCGGCGGCTTTTCGACCACCAGATCGCTCCATTCTCGTCGACTCTGGGCGAGTGGCGGCGTTCAGCCTCGAGCGCCCACGGCGGGCCGTCGCCGTGTGGACACGACACGAACCTGGCGTGCGGAAGTTTGCCCCGAGCCCTCGATACGCTGCTGCCGTTCCCCATGGGGACGGCCGCGCGGACCCTGACCCTGGCAGCCGGGTCGGGCGCGCGGGCCCGAATTCCCAGACGGAACACATGGATGTTAGTCAGTGTGGGCCCCAAGCATGATTCATTGCAACCTGCGCGATGCAATCGAGGCGGTGCAGTCAAGGTGGCACAGAGAAATGCAGGCCAATGCGAAGCAGTCGAATGCGATGCAGAGCAAGGCCTCGCAGTGCAGAACAATGCAAATCAACACAACACAACACAGAGCAGTGAAAAGCAAAACAAAGCAATGCAAGCCAGTGCAACTCAATGCAGAGCAATGCGACGCGATGCAACATAGTGCAGCGCAGTGCAGCGCAGTGCAATGCAGTGCAGCGCGGCGCGGGCGGGAACGGGCCCAACATTGAGTCGGGCATGTCCCCCTACAGGTGGATTTTCTACGAAAAATAAAACATACCCCAAACATGCCCCAAAATGGCCAAACAATGCTCAAAAAATAGTC